CAATTGCGAGTTTATATCACGCAATTCTGACTTTATAACTCGCAATTGCGAGATTATATCTCACAATTCTGAGAAAAAAAGTCAGAATTGCTAGATATAAACTCGCAATAGCGAGAAAAAAGGTCAGAATTGTGAGTTTATATCTCGCAGTTCTGACTTTATTTCTCAGAATTGCGACTTTATGTCTCGCAATTGCGAGTTTATATCACGCAATTCTGACGTTATTTCTCAGAATTGCGAGTTTATATCTCACAATTATGACTTTTTAACTCGCAATTAGGAGTTTATACCACGCAGTCCTGAGAAAAAAAGTCAGAATTGTGAGATAAAAAGTCGCAATTACCTCTTTTATTTTTTATTCAGTGGCGGAAACGGGCTTCCATATCTACACAAAAAACGACAACAACAAAAACAATGTATGTCGCCTCCAAACTTTTTAGTAGACAGCGCTGCGGCCCCTTTAAGAGCTCAGCGGACGCGTTTAGGAGATCTGCCCGTCTGCTGTGTGTGTGAGTTCGGTGACATCAACAAGACACGCAGATCCGTGTTCTCTGGGGGGATTGACATTAACTCAGACATAATCAAGACTCTAGGGACATCGCACAGCTCTTTTAGACAGCAGAGGGGAAGAGGGATCTGGTGGGTGTATATTTCCAGCAGTTTTCCAGCAGGTGTTACTGAAGGGTCCATCACAGACTATCAGCAGGGTTCATGAAACTTTGCTACGATTTGCGAGCTGGGTAAGCGGATCTTTAACATGTGTCCTTTAGTAATATCCAAGAGGGCAACAGGCGATTTACAGTGTGTGTGTGTACAGGAAGACTGTCATGATTCATAGATGAAAGCGTTTCTATTCGGAGTAACGATCTTTAAAATGAAACTGTTCATATCTGTGTCAGCGTCGCACTTAAGACCCGCAGATTTAAATAGCTAAGTATACGTCATGATCGAATGTGTCATCGCTTTGTTTAACGTGACATTTAAATGCGTTCCTGGAACGTGACCGTTATTCTGTCATTCAGAATCTTCGGAACAAAATGTATCATTCTGTAGAACATCGGACTGAATACATTGTATCCACACAACACGCAGACGGCCTACAGAACACACGCATGTGATGGAGTGAGAGTGATTACATGTGTTATTGATGTTGCGATGATGAACGCGGATCGTCGCGTGATTCTGAAAGGAAGTTATTCATTGGTTAATTTATCTATTGATTCATTGACTGATTCATTGACTCGTTCACTGATCAATTGATCTGAGCTCAGCCATCTATTCGTTGTTCCGTCAAGGCAAGATCGATTGACTCACTGATCAGTGGATTTATTGATTTACTGTTTCATTTGCTCTGTTGATTCATTGATCTACTGAGTCACTGATTCATGTATCATTGTAAAATCAGCTGAATGATTGAAATCAGTTGAATAATTGATCCATCGATTCATTGATATTTCATTTAATTGATCTGCAGAGTTATTGATTAATTATTCTTTTGATTATTGGATCTATGGATTCAATGATTTATTGACCTACTGAATCACCAATTCATCATTTATTGTGAAATAAATTCAATCATTGATCTGTTAAATCATTGACGAAAGAATCTATGATTAACTGATCCATGGATTCATTTAAAGGGGTCATATGATGCGATTTCAAGTTTTCCTTTCTCTTTGGAGTGTTACAAGCTGATTGTGCATAGATAAGATCCCTGAAGTTGCAAAGACTAAAGTCTCAAAACCAAAGAGATATACTCTGTTAAGATATAGTGTTTTTTGAACATTAAAGCATGTCAACATATTCTGTTACACCAAATACACAAAATAATGATCTTTAAAAAAGCATCATATGACCCCTTTAATTATTTACCTATTGAGTCACTGATTCATTTATTCATTCTGAAATAAACCGAATCATTGAAAAATAATCGAATCTATTAATATTTTGATTAATTGATCCACATATTCATTGGCCTACTGAATCACTGGCTCATTTATCCATTGTGAAATCAATTAAAATATTGAAAATAATGGAATCATTGATCAATCAATCAAATCATTGTTCTGTTGTTTCATATTTGGTTCATTAATCCATGGATGTATTAATTCATTGCTCTATTGAGTCACTAATTAAACCATTGTGAAATCAACTGAAACATTGGAAACTGAATTATTGATCCATTGTTTCATTGATCAGTTGTGTTTGTGTCATTGATGATTTAATCTTGTGATTAATTAATCAATGGATTTATTAACTAATTGACCTATTAGTCACTTATTCATTTGTCCATTTGGAAATCAACTAAATATTTAAAATCAGCTGAATCACTGACACATGGATTTATTGATCTGTTGTTTCATTGATTTATTGATTAATTTATCCGTTTGACAACTGATTATTTCCGATTTAGTGGTTTCAGATTAAGCTGTTTTCTCAAGCAAACCATTTCTTTGATCAGTAAAAAACAGTATTCCTGTACTGAGAGAGTTTATGTAGGCAGCACCTGTAGTGTTGAACTCTGAGTATGACACAAATAAAGAAGTACATTTTGTGATTTTGTGTATTATGTAGCATAGATTTGATCTTGAATTAACTGAATTTAATTTCTCTCTCACAGATATGAATGCCCTTGTCGTTGTTTGCTGTAGTAAGTCATAGCATTCCTCCAGTGCTCTCAATGGTGTTCAGTTAGAAGTGAATCAGAAGGCCTTGGTGGTGAATATTTGTGTAGAGATGTGGGCAGTATAGATATCGCTGGGTTATGTGGGTGGACACATTTAGTTCCACCTTGTGTACTTGACTAGAGACTTCTGCTGCTCTCACAGCATGCAGAATCACAATAATAGCCAAATATAATTTCATAATAATAAGCACTGAGAGCTCTCAAGGCAGTCCGTGTTCTGTAATGTAATTTCAGAGAGAGACGGTTACAGTTGAAGCTCATGACCCCATCGTTTTGTTGTCTGCATCTACAATCTGCGCCATTGTTTTCTCTACATAAAAGCTTTTTGTTCTTACCTGTTTATTTTGTCATTTTAACTGTGTTTAAGTGTTAAAATACTGACCCTCATATTCACGTTTCAAACCTTTTTAACTTTCTTGCTCCCGTCACATGGACAGAATTAATTCATTTATATTAACATTCAAGTCGAGTTCACCTAGATTCAGGTGGATTTGCTGGGCCTGTAAACATTTGATTTGCACATAGCTTTTTTGACGTAGTTGCAAAAATGAGTAATTCTGCAGTGGTTCCATAAACTACAAATTATAGTGAATGTAAAATCTTCAGCATGTTACAAAACCTTTCATTCTTACAAATTGTGCAATAGTTGAACCTATACCTGTACTATATTATGATGGTCATTGAAGCACTTTCAAAGAGGTAGTGACATGCCCAAGTCGTGTGGGAAATCCACACATGGCACTACATTTCCACTGGGATTTCCTCAGTATTTTGAAAAACTTTGGTCAGTGAGTCATGCTCGAGGCAGGAAAAGCACCTGAAATCCATTCACAACCTGCTGCGATTTGAGATGGTCTTTTGGCGTTCGTCTTCAGAACAGAAGAGCTAATGAATTCCCTTTCGTTTTTAAAGGTCAGCCCTAGAGACTACTGAGAATATTCATTCACGTGTTTTTGTGAAAGTCCTGAGGATATGAGCATGCGTCAGAGAGGTGACTTCTGGGTAAAATGTAATAACTTATTTCAGAGAAAGGGTTCACATTTAATCAAGAGTCGTGTAATTAATGAAATCAAAATACATTTTGTGACTTTCTATCATCCATCAGTGTGTAATTATGTAAATCAGCTTATTAGTATTAAGTAAATAAAACATTGCTGTTGAAAAAAAAACATGGTTATTGTCATGGTTGTGTAAGGTTTTAAATATGTTAGTTTTATCTTTACTTTTTATAATTTTTTTATTGGTTTTAAAATGTTTGTATGACATTATAATGTTTACTTTTTCTTAAAATCATACATGTGAATTTAAAAATTTTTTTTATATACATTTAGTTGTATTAATTTATCAATTGATTAATATTATAGTCAACATCTTAAGAAAAAGGCAGTTTTATGTATGTATAATGCATTATGAAAGTAGTTTTAATGTAATGCACCTCATAATGCATTGTACATGTACATAATATGAATAATTGTACATTAATAATGCATTATAACACTTATCAATTCATTGTTACACTATGCATTTTAAATTCTGTTATAATTATTTATGACAAGATATAATGTGTTACAATGCACATTATGAATAATGCATTATACCCTTTAATAACCCTTTATAATGCATTATACATAAAGGCTTTAAGTAAAGTGATACAGCATATTTTTCATAGTACATGATTTTTAAATTATTATTAGAAATTATTTATATTTAATATGATTTAATGAAAACAACTTTGCCATAAAGGCTTTAAGTAAAGTGATACAGCATATTTTTCATAGTACATGATTTTTTAATTATTATTAGAAATTATTTATATTTAATATGATTTAATGAAAACAACTTTGTTGAGACGTATACACAATATTTACCAACAATTTTTTCAGCCGACCGAGTCGACATGAGCTTCAGCCAATGCCAGTAATCTCAAATGAGCCAAAAATTGGCTAATTAAATTGACAGGATGATATATATATCAGTCTGTCAGTACTATTGGCTTACTGTAATAAAGCCACTTTGCATCTTCATTATGTGCAAGTGAAATTTCTCCAGCAGTGTAACACCTGTGTCCTCTTTAAAATGTAACAGTTTGTTTTTATTTTTTAAAGGTTTCTGTAAATGTGTTACTTTTATACTTCATACTTTTTGTACTTTGTTGACCCTGCAGGGCTGCCATACACAATGTTAAGGTAAAGCCTAAAGCAGCTGTGTTGAACATGCTAAAGCGGCTGGACAAAATACGATTCCGTGGTCCAAAGCGAGATGACTTCCTGGATTTACCCGAGTCCCCCACGGGGTCGGACACTGAATGTAGTGATGACATGCTGATGAGACCTCGACCTTCAATACGAGACAATGACGAGCAAAGAGACCCTGTAAGTAATTACACACACTCGCATTACATTTGACAACTTTCTAGTGAGTAAGCATGAAGTATGAATAACTCATTTAAGAACATCTGTATGTTAGTGTAGTACAGTTAGTTATGTAATACCTGTGTTATAGAAGGTTGGTTTCAAAACCTATAGTGAGCTACATTTTAAGGTATCATACTGTAGGTTTGCTTCCAACAACATTATGCTGCCATCTAAGGTAACGGTGACTTTGGACTTGATGTCTTATTTTAGGCCCTCAAAGTGGCCCCCTTTGCTGAGCCAACACTGATCTATATTCTATACCACAATGTCGAACGAAAACCATGAGGGCTGATGTTGCCAACTGCATCATTTTTAGACCAGGCAGTAAAATAAAGGCATAAAAACAATGGAATAGTTGCACAGTGGAATGCAAAAATGTGTTGTGTGCAAACGGCCCCTTAGAAGGTAGATGCAGTTCCTTTAAATCAGTTTTCTCTATCTCTTTTAGAGTCTGACCTTTTTATGTCAACTACCTCTTTATCTTCCATAATGCAGCAAAGCAGAAAGAGCTTGTTTAATGTTCTGTCTCGCCATTATCTCATTCGCCTAGTTAAACTGCGCTGATGTTCCTAAGAAATATAGGAAGGCCTTAGCCCTTGCAGCCAAATGATGCTTTAATGCACTTTACCATCCTGTTAACACCAGACACTGTAGCTTCAGTCTGGTGCCTTTTTATTTCACAGATGGTTTATGGAAGAATTTTTGCCGTAATCGTGTTAGAGATGTTTTCTGAGAGGTTTGTAGTCCTATTTCTGTAATTTGGTGTTCTGTGTATTTTGAGGCTTTCCCCTCAATGATGGCGCCTCAGATTAGTCATGGTGTTGCATACGTGTCTCACAGAAGAGCCAACTTCCTCTGCTTCCATCTGCAACATGAGCGTGTGTTTTGGAAATGTAAACTGAGATGTCGAGTGACAGGTCTAGCACATCTCTTGGACGCTGTAGGGCGTCATACTGTATGGTAGTGCGTTCAATGCTCATCCCTCAACCATGGCTCTGTTTCAAAACCTAGTGAGCTGCCCACCCAGGCAGTAGTTTTAGGCATCGCTGGCTGTTCCAAATTGTCGATAGCAAAACCTTCCGTCTATCCTTCCAATCTCCAAACCGCTTATCATAAGTAGGGTCTCGGGGATGCTGGAGCCTATACCAGAATCGGGCAATAGGCAGGGAAACACCCTGGATGGATGGCTGGTCCACACGCACATTCACACCAGCAATTTAGTCTTTTCAATTCACCTATCCTGCAAAGTCTTTAGACTGTGGGAGAAACCAGAGCACCCAGAGAATACCCACACCAACACGGGGAGACCATGCAAACTCCACACAAAAAGGCCTACTGGCTCAACCAAGAGCAGCAAAACTCATATCTGCACTGTTGTGGGTGTTATGGGAGGTCGTTAGTGTAATGACTTTGATTACTTAATTTTAACTGTAGGGAATTAATTATTATTAATTCATTCAGGTTTATTTCTAGCTCAGGTTTTGAAAGAACTCATGGTTTATTTATGCTGAAGCCAGTCACGAAACCTACTGACGTCCTGTTGCTTAAATGAATCCAGATGGGGTAGGGTCAGTTCTTGTTGTTTCTTGTAAGATAAGCAGAGAGAGACAGGAACTGCTGAGACCCTGAGCTGACCCTGTACGTAGTTTTATGACTGCAGATGGCTGGGGAGAAGAACCTTTAGTTTTCCCGGTGGAATGTAGAGATTCAATGTTCGTTTGTGTCCATTTATAGATTCAAGGGTTTCAATATCTTGAAGGCCGGAATCCTACATTAGGGTGTTGCTAGGTGGTGACTAATTGGTTCAGTCTTACAACATTACAATTATTTTACTGCTTCTCACTATTGAGTCGGAGGCTACCCTATCCAAAACCATACATATCAAACATTTTTGATATTTCCGACTCTTGATTGGGCTGCCTCTGATGGGGGACCCACAATTGACCCCTCACAAAGACCCGCCCCTCCTTCATTACTGTTGCTATGTCTGACAAGCCATGGCACACTCACGCCACACATCATGTTCTCAAGTAGTGAAAAATACATCGCGGAGCAAAGAGGAAACTGACAACGCACTGACAGACAAGACAGAGCATAGTTATCAAGCATCTCATTCGTAATTTAAGCGAAGTGTAGGACTAAATCTTAAGGGTCAGTCTTAGAGATGATTCACGTGACTTTGCTGTGCCACAAACGGGATTTTGGATGACAAAACATGCATGGACCAATCACTGAATAGATTTCCTTATTTAAGAATATATTGACCCCTCACAAAGACCCGCCCCTCCTTCATTACTGTTGCTATGTCTGACAAGCCATGGCACACTCACGCCACACATCATGTTCTCAAGTAGTGAAAAATACATCGCGGAGCAAAGAGGAAACTGACAACGCACTGACAGACAAGACAGAGCAGATTACTTTAGGTATGAAACAAAGTCTCAAATTGTCTTTAAAAAAAAAAAAATCAAACAATAAATACCTTTTTGTGGCTCTTTAATTTGTGTCGTGACAGATCGCTGTAGCTCAAGCAGCACATGAACCGATCATCACTTCTTCTTTACTAGTTATAGTGTGAAATAAACATGAATGAACATTAGAAGATATCTTTCAAGTTTCAACTGCAGAAAATTGTCAATTCACACCATTTCAAGTCCACCAACGTTAATCTACTCTCCGGTCTGGGCCTGTATTTGTCAAGCCTCTGAGAATTACTCTCAAGAATGCTGCTAAGAATTGACTTAAAGGGATAGTTCACCCAAAAATGAAAATTCTGTCATCATTTACTCACCCTCATGTCGTTCCAAACTTGTATGAGTTGCTTTCTTATGTTGAACACAAAAGAAGATATTTTGAAGATTGCTGGTAATCAAACAAGACGATAGTATCGTGTATCGACGATAGTCCGAGATATTGCCTGTTGCGGATTTCTTTGACGACAGCAAGAAGATTATTATTATTATTATTATCCATCAAAAATATAGGCGCCTATCTTTAGTGATGCAGCGCGGAGAGCCGCTTCAGCATCTTGTCGCTGCGCGGGTGGTGAGTAGACGTGATCTGCTCCGGTGGCCGTGTTGGAGCCATAACGCGCTGCAGACGTGTGCAGTGTAAATAAGGGGTGAGATTTATTCATGATACAGTGTAGGTAGCTTCACTGATTATAACGGGAGTGTTTTTAAAGAGCATATAATACTCGCGCTAGACTGAAGTCAGTTATGATGTTCTTTGGTAATGTAAATATTCTTTGCTCGTTTTCTGTTTGAATAACTGAGGAAATGTAACTGTTTGATTAACTGCTCGTCGTCAAACATTTCAAGAACATTCTTCCTCTTCTGAAAGATTCGCGCCATCTCAGCGCCGTCACAAACCCCTACTGGCAACTCTTAACCACTTGAGAGACCTCTCGAGCTGTCTTAAATAACTGGAAGAGTAAGAGTGATTCTTAGCTTTAAGAAATGTGATAACTTGCTTTTATACTTAAGTTTGAAAGTAGGAGTAAATTTAATGAATTCTCAGCACTTAAGACTAAAATGGCACTTTGAGAAGCTTGATAAATACGGCCCCTGGTTTGTTTGTTGGACAAAAATGGCAGATTCGGCATTATGATTGGTCAGATCGCCTGTCAATCAAACTCCCTGCGAAGGGTCATTTACCAATGAGATCGTGCAAGCTTCATCACCGGATGTTGCGAAAACCTGGCAGCTGAAACTTTACGAAAGTATTTGCAAAACAGTACAAACACCAGGAGAGCCAGCTGATGACGTCGATCATCCTCCATATTTGTGTTTCTTCTGAAGTCACATTTGATCATGCAAGTTTCTGTGAGATCTCGTGTCTGTGGAACTACCACTGCGAATTCGTTACTACAGTCAGCAGGTGTATGGCCTCATGGCCTGGCGAATCAACTAGTGAGTACGTTCGGAGGATTATGCAAAAAAAAAAAAAAACTCTCCTTATGTCTGTGGTCTGCCACAGTTTTAAAATCAGTTAAGATTTGAAAATTGTCTAAGTAGAAGCAATGTTAATAGCGATGCTAGTCTTAGTAGTGAGCTCCGTAGGAAAAAAACCCCAATAAAATTGCGAAGTCAAAATAGTATATGCAGAAAATAGTTTAACTTAATTGCGAATAAATTACTTTAACCACTGTTTTTGTGCATATTAGAGTATCAATTCATTAGCTTAGCAAACATCAGACTCCTCAAACAAGATAATTTCGGCCCATAAATAGTTTTTTTTTTTTTTTAAAGAGTCAGTTATGATACTTTCAGATCGCCTGTCAATCAAACTCCCTGCGAAGGGTCATTTACCAATGAGATCGTGCAAGCTTCATCACCGGATGTTGCGAAAACCTGGCAGCTGAAACTTTACGAAAGTATTTGCAAAACAGTACAAACACCAGGAGAGCCAGCTGATGACGTCGATCATCCTCCATATTTGTGTTTCTTCTGAAGTCACATTTGATCATGCAAGTTTCTGTGAGATCTCGTGTCTGTGGAACTACCACTGCGAATTCGTTACTACAGTCAGCAGGTGTATGGCCTCATGGCCTGGCGAATCAACTAGTGAGTACGTTCGGAGGATTATGCAAAAAAAAAAAAAAACTCTCCTTATGTCTGTGGTCTGCCACAGTTTTAAAATCAGTTAAGATTTGAAAATTGTCTAAGTAGAAGCAATGTTAATAGCGATGCTAGTCTTAGTAGTGAGCTCCGTAGGAAAAAAACCCCAATAAAATTGCGAAGTCAAAATAGTATATGCAGAAAATAGTTTAACTTAATTGCGAATAAATTACTTTAACCACTGTTTTTGTGCATATTAGAGTATCAATTCATTAGCTTAGCAAACATCAGACTCCTCAAACAAGATAATTTCGGCCCATAAATAGTTTTTTTTTTTTTTTTAAAGAGTCAGTTATGATACTTTCAGTATAAGATACCGTCTTAGATCGTAGATGCCTA